AAAAATGAGGAAAGAAAAAAGAAGTTGTCAGTTCTGTTTTTTTACAATTGATTTGAAAGATTCAGTGACCTGCCACATGCAGTTTATTTCAGTGAGAAATACTGATCTGATTACTCAACTCTTAATATAAGCATGAACTTCATGGATCGAACTAGGCAATGTATTGGCAACATGAAACAAATTGCAGACTGCATCAGATCAGCTGTAGTAATTGGATGTGATACTACCATACCAATTATAACAGTCAAAGTAGAGAGTAAAGATTTTGCATTCAGCTGACATTTTTGATGTCCTGCCTCTGTTCAATTGACTTATTTAATCTTTATTGATAGCCCAGTGTACCTTCAGATTCAGTTGTTGACAGAAGGAAATACCTGAACTGCCATTCTCAGTGGACCTTTGTGGGGGCGTATTCTGATTGGCTTTTTTTTTTTACAATTGTTATATTTTTCCAAATGAGCTATGAGTTGATGGGTGGAACCATTAAGTTAAAACTTCCCCCAGGAGCCATCTAAATACCTTTTTCTTTTTGAGTAGTGTTTGCAATGTATTGATGAGTCTTGTTTCAAATGTCTAGCAACGAGAAGAAAGAATCAAAATATTTTTTTAATCTCTATGTGAGCTGATCTGGGAATTATACTTTCACAAAATGTGGGCTTATGGGTTCTTACAGCCCATGTCAAAATAAGGGCTTTTATTGTTGGGTTTTTCAAATAGTGTAGCCATTTACCTCTGCTTGTTCAACTGCATGTGGGTTATTGCAGTTAATAATTTTTGAATTTTACATCTATGTAAAGTGACAATAAATACTCACTGGCAGATGCCTGAAGGCTGATCTTGCATGCAAAGCTTGCTCTTTAGTGTCAAGGTTTTCTTTACTTCATAAGCTGATAAAACCTGAAAGCAAACCATCGTCATGCTTTTGGGAAGCAGGAGAGACAAGAATTTCTTAATGCTAGTCTTATGACAAGAGATTGTTTAACTGAAGCTAAAGTTGGAAAGTTTTTATTAATAATTTGCATAGCAAAAGCATTGCCATGTAGTCATCAAAGCAAGCATTAGGTCAAGATAAACTCAACGTTGCTGCCAAAAGATGAACATTCAGCTGGATCAGTTTCAGGCTCCTGCCCACTGCCTGTAAGTTAGTACTGGTGTAATGGAAGGAGCAAAAATGGTTGGGAGGTCCTATTGGCAGCAGTATTACCCCATGCTGGATTAATGTGACGTTAAAATAATGGTCTTAAAAGTGGAGGAGACTGACTTTCACCTTGCATCAAGTTATTTGGCATTTCACTTTTTTTTTAACCTCTATAAGCTGCTGCTTGTTACTGGTGGATTTTCCTTTCTCTCACAGGAAGGCTGTGTTTTACAAGTCTGCGTTATACTTATGTACTGCTGTTTCTCATTGCTTCTCAGCTTAAATCAGAGAAATAGGGTTACCATTAGTGACCCATGTGGTGATATAAGGCAAGTGTAGGTAGCTTCTTATTTCAGTCTTTCTGTACGGGTAACATTGGAAGATTCTGCTGCCGTATTTCCCCTATCCAGGAAACTGAAAATGACTTTCACTCTGGGATGAAAAGTTGACACAAGTAGAGAGTCATCTGTGCTTTGTTTGCCTCTGAAGAATTCCTGTTGAGCCAGTACTGCAGGTTAGAAGCAGAGGAGGTGCTTCAAGATCAGAGGTGTGGGGTCAGTTCAGTCAGTCTATTTTTGAGTGGATGAAAATGTAATCTCAGTGTGAAGTCTTGGCATATATACCTCCTGTGTGCTACATCCAATTGCATCTCTAGAATGTGGACTTACTGGAGGAGAAGAGTAACCATTATTTGATTTCTGCCTAGTGTCATGCTGATATTTAGTTAAGAAAAACTGAGCTATTAAAATACTGCCAAGACTACAATGCTAATAACTGAAATAAAAAAAATTCATACCTTACTGGAGGAGTTTGTTGCTGTATGCAGAACGCATGCCAGTGGGGGGAGAAAGAAGTGATATGACTCCATCATCTAAGGTTCTGAGCATCAATTTTAAGCTTGAGAGCGCACCTAAGATCCGTACGTTGCACAGTTTTATTTTAGGATGTTTTCATTTTGATTCCTGTAAAGTTAAGTTCCTGTAAGGTAGGTGCAAAAAAAAATTAAAGTGAAAGGAGCTTGAAGACCATCAAAATGTAGGCAGTCTAGCTATTTCTGAGAAGAAAATCAGCATTAGCTTTCATACTGAATAAGCTCTCTGGTAAAAATTGTTAAAGAGCCTTAAAAAGAGTTTCTTCGACATTCTGATTGTAAACTTTACATTGATTACTGTGAAACTTTAAGGAGAATTAAAACTTTATGTTGTAAACTTCACATCGCAACTTCAAGGAGAAACGTTTGAAGTCAATATGGTAAGTCAAAACAACTTGCTTGGTTTTCCAGAACTTTTAAGAAGGTTGTTTGCTTTTTAAAACTGAAAAAAAAAAAAAAAAAAAATTCAATCGCTGCTTGTGTTTTATTGTTTTGTTTTGTGATGTCATGCCTGGCACCAGTTCTGCTCTCAAAAGATAGAAGTCAAGTGATTCATTCTAGAAAATCAGTTAAGCAGAAATTTTAACAGGTCTTTTTGCAGATCAATCTTGATACTTCTCACAGTGCTTATATAAAGCATAGGCATTTTCTCATGTTGGCCCAGATCATTCTTTAGAAAAAAAGGACTAAACATATCCATAGCAGAACTTTAAGAATGGGAGGTTGTCAGAGTAGTTTCGTATTTCAAAGACAGATATGTGAAAGAAGCAGCAAGGCTGAAACTTACATAGTTTTTCTTCTTTGTTTTGAAATGTTCTGTAGTTTCACCCAGAAATACCCACCGGTGAAATTTTTATCAGAAAAGGATCGTAAAAGAATCCTGGTAAGTTGGTATTTTCTCAAGGGTTGTTTTTGGGAAATAAAATTCTGTGGAACGTAATTAGTCTTGTAGAATTAAAGACATGAGCAGCAATAAAGTAAATTACCTTGTCTGTCCTATGTGCTGCGCAGGGTTTAGAGTAGTACTTCACTTACTCTGTGTTGATCTGCTCAAACTCAGCATATAGATAATACACTTGGGCTCTGGTCTGGAGGTTTGACTTGCTAATTAAGCTACTTTTGTTTGCTTGTAACATCTCAGGACTGCGTTGCCAAAGCGTCTTTCATCTCATGCTCCCAGATGGCTTAAACTTGCAGAGACTGGGAAACTTTTTAGACACATCTTGACAGAACACTTCTGTGACTGAATCGGACAATATCTAGTGATAAGACTAGAAAAATAGCTGCTCTGCAGCACTGTTAAGAAGGACCAGTTAATTAGACTGAGGGAGTGTACATCTCTCTGTTATCTTCTATGTTGTTTCTGACATTTTGAAGCATCACAGGTGTTTTAGGGTGGAAGAGAAAAGCAGGTTAAGTCAGGACAAGTAGTTGTCCAAGGCATTCTTAAACTCGAGCAATTGTGTTGCAACATGAGTTTTCCAGTTTTTGTCTACAAACACATTTGAAGTTAGCTGTGTCCTAATTTTTTCCTTCTTTCTGTCTGTCCTGGGGAAAAAAAAATGTCCCCACATTTTTAAGAGGCAGAGGAAGTATAGCTACTTAAGATGTGTAAAAATAGAAGCATGAATTTCTGCCTCTGTAGTAGAGAGCACTGTCTGAGATAAATCCCTGCAAAAGTGCCTAACTTATCTGATATTCTCTTTTGCTTTGATTCTTCAAAATTTTGAAGAAAAGCACTGAAAAGATGCAATTAAAAATGGACTTTGTTTTTACTGCTTTATTAGACAGTAGTCTTCACTGCTATTGAAAAACTTCATAAAGAGTAAGTGTTGTCAAATTACTTTAGTTCTTCAGTGTTATTCTGTCATTTTTATGACAGTCTGAAGAACATGGACCTGTAGACTACCTGTTCCCTTGTTGAATGTGGAAGGTACACTGAGGAAGACATCAGAGTCTTAATCCTGAAAATTCCTAAACTGTGTGCTCATGTATCCAAGTGTAATAAAGTTACCTTAATGTCATGGTTTTTGTGTAAGCAAGAAGATACTTTCAAGACAAGTACCAGTGCAAGCTGTTAATAGGCTATGGAGCTCTTAATATTAGCTTCAAACTTTGCCTCTTAAAGATACTGAGTATTTTGATGATGTCTGTTGCTTCAACAGTGATGGCAAGCAGTTGGAATAGGAGTGTTTTCTGGTGACCTGGAAGTGAACAGCTTTTTGGTGTCTGCATATTTTGTAGAGTTTAAACTACTAAAGAGAAAGCTGGCCAAAAGGACTAGTGAGTTGTTCAGTTGTTTCTTCTCTGTCATGGCTGGGGACTAGTTTGATGGCAACTCAGATGGGCTTTCACAAGCCTTGTGCCCACATGGGCACTTTCATTCTGTTAGAATGTCGCTGTCATAATCTTACAGGAAAAATGTTCTTTTGAGTAGCTGAAATCAGCTTACTTGAGGACTCGTGTAGACCTTGCATGACACTTGGAAATTTCTCAGGAGTAAACATGAGAATCAGCAAGCCAAGTGAACTTTGTTAGATGATTTGCTTCATATTTAGTTGATACTGCATCTTTTCTTGGTGTCTGTTCTAAATTCTGAATGCAGTCTCCAGCTGCAACCTGGAGATACCTGCAGCACTGATCAGACAACAGTTCTAGCAGTTATTTTTTATTATACTGCATCTGTTTGGAGGTGATGGGTAGCAGGGGTGGTATTTCAGCTGAGACTAGATACTCTGCCACTTTCACTCAAAGGAGCTCAAGTCTTCGTCCTGTTGTGCGTGATGTACTACTCGCTCAGTTCTCTGAACTGACTAGGCCACAGGCTGTCGTATGCAAGAGAAGGAATTCTGTTAATATTATGAAAGATAGTGTCGACATTGGTTCAATCTGTTGTGTGGATTTTTTTCTGAATTGAATGTGGTAGACCAATTAAAGCCTAAAATAAATAATATAATTTCCGTGTGGGACATTAGATGTTTTGAATATGACTGCAGACAGCAGAAATGAACCAGTCTAGCAAATACAGAAACTTTTAAGTGTGTCTAGTGGAGGAAATTATCAGTAATATTTGTGCCTTTCAGTAGACGCTGAAGTTACCAAGCATATTGGCACTACTAATTCATTCAATATTTTTATTAATTATGTCACATTAAATAGTGCCTATTTAAGGCCCAGGTGCTGGTGCTTCAATTCTGATATGGAAATGATTCACATACAGTATATGATTTTGTAGATTAATATGTCATGGTGATTTGCAGGAAGTCGTAGTTAGAAATTAAGTATATTGACCTTGCTTTTATGAGTGATTTACAGGAAGGTTGTACAGAGAGCTTCAGTGATAAATCCTCTTTTCTTTTTTAATGTAGCCTCAAGTTATGATAAAAAAAAAAAAATTTATACAGTTGTTTACTTTTCCAGGGGAAATTCAGCTCCTTTTCCAAGTAGTTCTTTTATCTAATACCTATGGAAGTTATATGATAATAATGCTAACATAGATTTAACACAAAAACTACTTACACATTTAAAATAATTGGAAACTTCTTTCCAGACAAAATTGGTTTGTGCTTTTTTTTTTTTTTTTTTTTGCTTGCATATATTATAGAAGAATGCTATAAGCAGTGCATGGTTTGGTTTGGTTTTTTCTCCAAAAGGGAGATGGAGAAGAAGACACCTTCTTTTACTGCACCAAAGACATATTGCGAGCATTGAGTTTGTCTTCTCTGGAATCCTGGAAATAGAAGTAGCAGCAGGGGATTTCCTTGGGCCTCAGCTGAAGGAATAGGTTCAGGTCATCTGCAGAAAACTTTTGTCCTGGTCACCACAAGAAGGCAAAACCCTTGCAACATTCAGCAAGGCTGCAGCTTACTTCCAAGTCAGGATAAGCTTATGGCAGTAGGTTTTCCATGGGTATTATTTTTCCCTTGGTAAGTGATGGCACCTGGCAAAGGGCTGTTCTCCCTCAGCTACCACCCTTCTTCTTTCCTTGTTCACAGCATTCTGCCAGAAACCTGCTCTTCCCTCCTTTCTGTTCTGGGATAGTGGGAGCCCTAAGATTATTTCTTTTTTTTAAAAGAGGTTTTCTCCTAAATCCTCTTTCTCCTTCAGGTTTGTCAAGGAACTGAATCACATACTGAATCTGCTGTAAGGAAGCCCTGACAAACCCAGAAGAATACTAGATAGACCAACTAAATGATTCTTTTATTAACTGGCACTGGTGCTTAACAATGTCTTTGACACACTGATGGCCCTGAATTTTTTAAGAAGGACAGAAGAAATGTAAGAATATGAGAAGTGGACATTCAGGTTCTTCTCCTCATACAGAGGAGTTTTCAGTAGTGGATGGGGAGGGAGTGGGCAGGATAAATGTTCAGGTTTTGACTAGCCCAGAGGGAAAGAACTTTGGGCATCTACATCCTTCTCCACGCAGCACTTTGTCATTGTAGCACATCATTCATTCATTAGATTCCTGCTTGACAATTTCATCATGTCCTTTTGCTGTTTGGTTAGTTGTCACTGCAGCTGAAGAATGGAGATCAGTGGCTGAATGACTTTCAAAATGTGAATTTGATCATGCAGTCATATAATATAACTGATGCCACACAGGGCTTTTACAAGTCCCTTCATTCTTTGAGAGTGGTGATTTGTAATGTGTGTTCTTGAAAACAGTTTATGAAGTGCTGAGAAAATAATTCCTTCTGTGGATTTGTCTGTCTGCATGTGTCACACAACTTCCAGTTCTACTACTTACTGTGTGGACTGCTTCGATACTGAGTTAGTGATTTATTTTGCTTGTTTGTTTGCTGTTAGAGACTGAGGTGCAGAAAGGGGGAAAAATAAAGAACTTCCCTGCTTTTTCTACATCTGCTATGGAACAAGAGTACTTTTTAAATATTTTACTTCTGCTTATTTCTTTGCAGTAAAACATCATAAAGTTCCAAGACAGACAAATGCTGGATGTTGGAGCTAGTGGTATGAGAGGCTGAAAACAGAATGATAGGATGTGCGCTATGGATGCATTAAAACACAAAAGGAATCATTTTGATTTTAGCAGATATTTGAAATGAGAGGTCTTTAAAGTCTTGCTTTCGTCTAAGAATACACTTCCTTCCTTCTATGAAGGGTGAAAGAATCTGTAGTACTTAGAACACCTAACATGTCTTCCATTTAAACCCGACAAAAGCTGGATTTGACATTTCTGATACTATAAATCTTCCACAAAAATAACCTGGCTTTCTGTCATCTCGTTTCTGAGAAATGAGAATTTCAGAGAATTCTCCTCTTACCTTTTTCAGTCTTTTTAGGCTTTGCTATTACATAAAAGGGCACAATCCAATTTGAAGGGAAAAGGGAAAAAAATCTAATCTGAAAAAGAGATTTTGTTGATATGAATGGCTAGCTAAACTTCTAAGCTGGCAGTGATGAAACATGTCAAGCATATCTCTTGAAATTTTAACTGCTGTAAATACTGGATAAAAAAAATTAAGCATGGAAATGGAGTTGTTTCCCCTGGGGTAAGCAAAGATCTGAAAGCTACTGTTCTTCTGTCTTCATGTTTGTAGACTTTGTCTGGTGTTTCTGTAAAAAGAAAAAGAAATTTATACCAACTGTCCTAACGCAGATAACTGGAGGAGCAGGGTTTGTGGGTTCTCATCTTACTGACAAACTAATGATGGATGGCCATGAGGTTACAGTTGTGGACAACTTCTTTACGGGCAGGAAAAGAAATGTGGAGCACTGGATTGGTCATGAGAACTTCGAACTGATAAATCACGATGTCGTTGAGCCCCTGTACATTGAAGGTGAGTAGTTTCTGCTTCAGTATGTGCCCTTTTTTGTGCTTCATCCTCCTAAGTATGTATGTCTGTAAAAAGAATAAAATTTATGCGCTGACTTCTGGATTGGTCTATCTAATACCTGTATCCGTTGTTCATTATTAGCTTAATTTCTTTGACCAATGTGGGCTGAGAGGCTCAGAGCACGTTTGTCTTTGAAATGAGTTCTTCCTTTCTGAGTGGACAGAAGGAAAGAAATCTTAAAAACTTCCTAATGTGACCAATTTTGTGAGAAGGCAAGGTGGCAATGAGTCAGTCTATCTGTCCCATTCATTATCTCACGTCCCTGTGCCTGCACAGGCTTATGCACACGGAGTCTACAGTCTAGAGATGTCATGAACTGAGAAGTTTAGTGTGACTGCAGCCCTGAGTGAGACAGCATAAATCCTACAGCTGTATGTAGTCAGTTGAAAGGAGTATAAACTCTTACAGAGGGCAAATCAGCTCACTTTCCTTAGTTGCCTTATGTGACTTCTGTGGAAAAAATTGCTTCTACTTTAGGTAGAAGCATTCCACAGCCTGTAGAACAGGAAAATGGCAGCACTGCATTTCCTGTTTTTAACAAAAAACCCCCAACCAACCAAAAACCCTAAAGAAAGAAAGAAACAAAAAACTCTACTGCTTCAAAGTAGAATTAAGATCTAAACTGTCATGAACCTCAAACTATTATGCCAGATTGTAAGGCAGCATTTAACATAGCCATATTTGAGAGAGAGATACATTTATTGACTTCTTTGGGAGTATGTAAGGATATAGTGAATCAATGAAAACGTTACTCAAATTAGACTGCAGTTCTGGTGGGTTTACTCCATCCATTTAAAACGGTAGTTGTTTCATTTTTTTAAGCAAAAAATCTGAGATTGTATTTTTTTTAATGCTTGCTGATTTCTAATGGATGGCATTTCAGGGGAAAAATCTCTAGCAATTGCATCTCTGGTGTTATTGCTTGTGGTGAATTCTTGACAACACTATTGAAGCAGTCCTGCTAACACATGCTCCTTCTCTGCTCTGACAATGCACTGGTTCAGTTACTGATGGTTATTTTACTTCAACTTTCTGCTTCCACTGACAGGATAATGGGACTAGGATCTTATTAATTGGCTGTAGGTGCTGGTGGCTTATAGCTCAGCCAGTTCAGTTTGTCAGCTTTCCTAATCTTTCCCCTGCATTACCTGTTTTCTGACTGATTACACTTGAGACGTTCCAAGAGAATTATCGTTGCTAATACTGTTGCCCAGTTACTAGGCACTAATGAATGGGTATTCTTGGATCCTTCAGCTACCTCTCCCGTGCCCTATGTAATTACAACACCAATTCCCCATTTTGTACTGACAACAAATTATAACATGTTATTCAGTGGGCAGCTTATTGAATGTTTTCTCATCCTCCAACAGCATAAATTAAAGCTGGCATGGCTTAATATCAGAGTAAAATTAACTTCGATATACTTATATAGGAACACGATAAAATTTCATTTCAGTGCAGATCTTGTATTCCAATCTAGGAAAGGGGAAGAAAAAAAAAAAGGAGGCAATGAGAGAGAGTTATTTTAAACAAGATTAAGTAGTTGGCATATGGATCAATACATATTAGTCCCAGTTTCTCCTTTTTACTTGTAAATAGAAGTTTGAATGACTGTGAAGTCATGACAAAAGAAAGTTTGTATCTAAAGAATTCCTGTTTATTTGCTTTCCTGGTTAAATAAGGTCATATAAGGATGTTTGACACTGAAATTCCAGAGAGAGTAATCAGTGCTTTATTTCTGAAGGAGATCTCATTTCTGATCTAGAAAAAACAATGTGTGCACTTTTGATATGGAAAGTGAGTTTAGTCTCAAGATGGGTAGCTTTCACTAAATCTCTTGATGCATTCTTTTTTTTAGCTTCACAGTGATGCCCACACAGTCTGCCTTGTCTGAGTTGTTATCTTTGATCCATGACATGAAGTAGCACTCAGCATTTTTGGATCTTGATCTAGACTGGCCAGAGACACAGTACCATTTTGTTTCTCAGCCCTGTGATAACTACAGTTAACTGTAGTGCTGAATGACTTTCTCCTCCTCCACTAGGATTTCCTTTGCTTTAGCATTCGGAGAAGATGTTAGTAGAAAACTCAGAAGACACATCTTTCACTTAAGCTTTGTCAAGCAAAAAACAAAACAAAAACCCCCACAATCTCTCACCCTTAAAAAAACAAAACACACCACCAAAAAACCCGCCCAGAAAACCACCCCTCCATCCTAAAAAAACCCCACCCAAACCATACACCCCACCAAAACCCCAAAAAACTGAACACAAAAATATAAGCCAGTTTCAAGGTGACATCATAAGATGGCAGTCATACCACAAACTAGATTCTGGTAAAAGCAGGTAATACCCCTCAGTCTTGAGGTCTGGTTATCAACTTCCATTAGGCATGTACACCTTCTTGTCCGCAGTAGCTACAGCAGTTGAATAAAACTGGAAGAAAATGTCAGACAGGTATGCACAGCCCCTATCCTTCTCCCACTGGCATTTCTTCTTCCTACTTCTTCAGCACCCTTTGGAATCCTTAAAACAATCTTTTATAGGGTGATACATGCACATTCCCTTTACCCTCAGCCATCTCTTGGATTTGAAAGATGTCCTCCTCAGATGAACTGTTTCATAGAATCATTAAGGTTGGAAAAGACCTCCAAGATCATGAAGTCCAACCATCAACTCAACACCCCATGCCCACTAAACCATGTCTTGAAGTGCCACATCTACACATTTTTTGAACACCTCCAGTGATGATGACTCCACTACCTCCTCGGGCAGGCCTTTGGTTTCTTTTCAGTTGTTTGTGGGTTTTTTGTTTGGTTTGGGTTTTTGATTCCAAAATCAAAAACCTCCAGTGCTTCACTGCTTAAACAGGAGCTCTTCATAAAATACTCGTACAATACTTCTAAAATTGCAGTTCCTGGAACCTGAAGGCAAAATAGGTTAGTGAAGGGTAGTTCCATTCTGATGCTGAAAGGAAGACTTTTAAAACAAATTAAGTGCATTGCCTAACTAATGTAATATGAAATAAGAGAAGAAAAGAGCTTGTAAGTGATATGTAAGGAAGAACTATTTCATCACTTGCTTCCTGAGATGAATTCAAATAATGTGAAAATCACTTAAATAAAGCTGATTTTCACTCTGCAAAAATTCCACCACAGCTTGTTGAAAACTAGATTTGGAAAGGATTGTGAAGGGATAGGTAGAGAGAAACAGCATAAAACTCAGGTCAGAGTTCAGCTGTGCATTGGCTGCAGGTATCTTTAGATTTCTTCATTTTTCTGAGGCACTGCTTGAATTACTTGCTGTCTGCAAGCAGTGGCCAGCAGCTTCTTTGAACATTTCTTTTGTCAGCATCCAGTCTACCCCTTTTCTTTGGTTTTATGACAGTACCGTGCTGGGGGAAGGGGATGCTTATGTTCAGAGGCATAACTTGAGGCACTCATTTTCATTCATATTCATGGCTCACCTGTAGGAGGCATGTCCAAGTTCAACAGACCAATTAATTTTTACCCCATGCTACTTCTTTGTATTAGTGCCTCAACACAAGAAATACTGCAAAATAATTAGATTAAATTTTATTCACTGCTGAAACTTACAATGTCAACAGTGACCAAAATAAGGAGAAATTATTCCATATCACACTTCATCACACAGAACAATTAACTATCTTCATGTTGCAGACAGAATCCTAGAAGTTTCAGTTGCATTAGCAATACGGGCAGGGCTTTGAATTGAGCCTGAGCTGGAAGCTTGCTTCCTCCAGCACTCACCATGTTAGGCTGTCTTTGAATCTATAGATTGCCTTCTGTGAAAAGCTCTCTTTTGATGCTGCACTGGAGTTGACAGTGAATGGAAGTTGATATGAGAGCAAATAGCAGAGCAATCTGCTACATGAAATTGTATTTCTCTGCACTTTTTTATGTGAGAATAAGTCCTCACCAATGTGACACATCTGCCAAAATTGTATCTCTCTAGCTTTCTGGGCTGTTTTGACATCTTTTAGGCAGCTGGTTATCTCTACTGTAGAGATTAACAGGTGTAGACCAAAGAGAGTGTGGCAACATACAAGAAGTATATATATTTTGTGGCATCTGCTTGAGCATACTAACTGTCAAATATCATTACTGTCAAAATGGTAAAACTTGGGGTTGATGGAGTCATGCAGATTGCCTTAGAAGCTGATCCTGTGTTTATTGTTCTGTGTGAGGAGATTTGATTTGAAATAATTCCTCCTTGTTTTGGTCACTATTGACATTGTAAGCTTAAGCAGTGAATAAAATTTAATTATAAATTATTTTGCAAGATTTCTTGTATTGGGCAATAATGCAAAGATGCAGCAAGGTGTAAACGTTGCGATGCCTCTTAGAGATGAGCCAGTGTGCACTCACAGGAGCTATGAGCTTGCCTAATAGACTTAAAACTTCCATTTAATCTAGAGAAATGTGACTATACATGCAAGTGCACTTAACTAAGGATTCAGAAAGAAAATAGGTTAGATATTCTACCTTGCCAACTTTGCCAGTGTTTTTAAAGCTTTATTATCAGAACATGTACTTATCTTAAAAAGGACATAACTTTTTAATATGAAGGAGATGCTTGTGTTTTGAAGGCTTTTAAGTATTCTAAATTTTTTTGTTGATTAAAGGATCGTTAAAAATAGGTACATTTCACATGGATAAATCAAGTCATGTATATACACTGTCACACTAACCACTCTGCATTTTATATTAGAGAGTGGTCAGGAAGCAAAGGATTGTGTACTTGCTTTGTCAAATGAAGTTTGGGAATCGGGGAAGAAGGGGAAGCCTTAACAGGAAACGCTTTCCTCTAACATTTCAGTGTTCTCAGCTAGTTGAGAGCAGGTAATAACTTTGTATTTGATCCGACCCCCCCCCCCCCCTTGTATCTCATATACAGCCTGTGCTGTTTAAGCAAGTATAGTTACATTTAAATGGGGGAAAAGGAAAATTTGGGCGTTTGCTTTTTTTTTTTTCCCATTAAGGATGCTTTTACCCTGTTTTTGGCAGCAGGATTAATTTAAAACTGGGAAAAAAAACTCATTATGGCACAGACACTGTGAAAGTTAAACCTAACAGGGCTAACAATAATCAATAAATTGTCCAAGTACAACATTATATTTTATATTGTTGTAATTTGCTACTGCTTGTTAATTATTAACCACCTGAGAAAACGGTTGAAAGAAAAATGTTTGAGTGTACCATTTGACTAATAGTGCTCTGTTCTAGGGCAAGACAGCTTTATGCTATGCAGTATTGTCTCCTGTCAGAATAGCAGCTAGCCTTGAACTTTTCCAGGTTCTTTCAGGTTTCAGTGCTGAGGCTTCTTAAAACAAAAGCAAACTTTCCTTTTGTAACACATAGAAGGAATTGCTTTCCCTTCTGCCATTCTAATTCTTATATCACCTTTTGACTACTTTTCTTGGATGACCTTGTTAGGGGATTTGTTCTTTTTCTTAAGCATCACTATCTCTTATTTGATCTTATGTTTAATTTTTTTTTGGCATTTGTTTATCCACGTTCATCTTTTTTTAAGTAGTTCTGGCTAACTGATTCATATTACATAGAAGACAGAAAGATATTTTTATATTTACAGTAGTTGTATTATGAAAGACTTGCAGTCTGAGGTTTTTTGAGTAACAGTCACTGCTTGTGAAAATGAGTCCAGTTTTTAATGGTTTGGTTTTTTATAATTTATTATAATTATAATCAACTCTAATATGCTGACGTTAGGATTTGCCTAAGGTTTTTATGATTACCAATGTTAATCAGCTAGTATCTTGGGATTATTTTAGGTTTCCTGTTTAAGACTGATTCTGGTTGTATTGGGTCTGGCTGAGATAGAGTTAATTCTCCTTATAACAGCCCTTATAATCCTGTGCTGTGTATTGGTAGCTAGAAGAATGTTGATAATACAGCAGTGTTTTGGCTGAGCAGTGTTCCCACAGCATCCAGGTTTTCTTTCCTACATTCCTCTGCCACCCCACTAGTAGGCTGGGGGTGGGCAACATCTTGGGAGGGGACACAGCCAAACGGACCAAAGGGATATTCCATACCATATGACATCAGCTCAGTGATAAAAGCTAAGAGAAAGGAGGAGGAGTGGAGGGGACACTCAATTTTTCAACGTTTGTCTTCTGGAGCAACCGCTATGCGTACTGAAGCTCTGCTTCCTGTGAAGTGGCTGGACATCGCCTGCTGATGGGAAGTAGAGAGTAAATCTTTTGTTTTCTTTTGCTTCCATGCACAGCCTTTGCTTTTTGCTTTATTAAACTGCCTTTATCTTGACCCACGTGTTTGGTTGGGGTTTTTTCCCCCATCCTGATTTCTCCCTCCATCCATCCTAATTTCTCCCCCTTGTCCTACTGAGGAGTGAAATGATAGAGTGGCTTGGTGGCACCTGACATCCAGCCAAGGTCAACCCACCACACTGGTGTACTGCGCAGCTTACTGAGTTTTTTTCAGTTCTTTAAATTTCACGGAGTGAGCTGAGCTTTTTGAAGCTCTGAAGTACGAAGATAGCAGCTTTCCTGATGGCCTGTTACAAAACCAAAGTTGGGTGAAGTCCTGTGCACTTGTTTTCCTTGTATCAGATACCGTTTATGATACCTATACATGTCTTATGAACTACCTTGGTAGAAATGACTGCCACGCTTGTTCTGGAAATACACCATTTTATGAAAATGGGTAAAATAGCTGAAAATAAACAAGTAAGCCTGACTACCAGATGACTAGACAACAAAGCACAATTCATTTAGCTTAAGGTAGAAATAAACTGAAGTAGGAAAAGTTGGAGAGAGAAGGAAGTCCTGCTTGATGATACATGTGGCCTTTGAACTTAAAATCTGTTACAGCCTTTATTTTCTTATGTCTCTGTTCTCTTGTGGTAGGAATAATTGTTAAATTAAGAATCATAGAATTATAGAATGGTTTGGGTCAGAAGGAACCTTAAAGTTCATCTAGTTCCAACCCCTCTGCCATGGGCAGGGACACCTTCCGCTAGACCAGGTTGCTCAAAGCCCCATCCAACCTGGCCTTGTACACATCAGGGAAGGGGCACTACAGCTGCTCTGGGCAACCTGTTCCAGCACCTCACCACCCTCACAGTAAATAATTTCTTCGTAATATCTAACCTAAATCCGCCTCCTTTCAGTTTAAAACATGTTATCCCTCATCTTATCACAACACTCCCTGATAAGGAGTTCCTCCCCAACTTTTCTGTAGGCCCCCTTTAAGTACTGGAAGGCTGCAATAAGGTCTTCCCGGTGCGGTCTCTTCTCCAAGCTGAACAACCCCAACTGTCTCAGTCTGTCCCCACAGGAGAGGTGTTCCATCTCTTTGACCATTGTTGTGACCCTCCTCTGGACCCTCTCCAACAGGTCCATGTCTTTCCTGCGCTGAGGGCTCCAGAGCTGGACGCAGGACTCCAGGTGGGGTCTCACCAGGGCAGAATCACCTCCCTCGACCTGCTAGGCACACTGCTTTTGGTGCAGCCCGGGATATGGTTGGCCGCCTGGGCTGTGGGTGCACTTTGCCAGCTCATGTCTGCTTTTTCATCCACCAGTACCCCCAAGTCCTTCTCATCAGGGCTACTCTCGATCCCTTCATCTCCCAGCCTGTACTGATACCGGGGGTTGCCCCGACCCAGGTGAGGGACCCTGCCCTTGGCCTCGTTGAGCCTCATGAGGTTCGCACGGGTCCTAGTCTATACTCAGGGCTGTGGTGTAACTGTTTAGGTTTTTTGTACTAGGCTCTATTTTGCTGTTGTGTGGAATATGTATTTCCTATGGATGATTGAATCTTTAGGTGTGTTTATGCAGCAAATTTAATTAGTTAAGACTGGGACTTGCACTACCTGGGCAATCTGTTGCCAGTACCCGAGCTACCTTATTTTAAATTATGTTTGGTATCAGTATACCTTCATTGATTGTAATGTATGGTCTAGTGTGTTGGTTAATTACATTTCATAATTGGGGTGGGGGCTGGAATCTCTGTATTCGAGAGGTTTTTGAGGTGGGTTTTTTTTTTTCTGATAAAGCAAAAATGCTGTATTATCTGAAGTGCAGCATAGAACACCAGTGGAGCAAAGGCAGTTGGGGGAAAAAGGACAAAAGTTGCATGCCCGTATCTTGGCATATATAGTTAGATATAAATATGATACCAATCCCATTAACATTTCATTGACAAGTGGCTTACAAATCAAAATACGATCTATATTTCCCAGAATGTTTCTGCTGGTATTAAAAAATGTTTCTGCCATCTTTGCTTGGGATTCCATTTGAGAAAAGTATTGTGAAGCTGGTAGTTACTTAAAAACCTGATGGTAATAGAATGTTGCATATACTTTTGCAGCTTCTAAACATCTCTGAAGTACTTGTAACTAAAATTTTTACAAGTGAAAAACATCAACATCCAGACGGATTTCTGTATCTGTGTCAATAGTGTTGATATATACTATGCTTTTCTTTGTGTTTTACTAAAGATTAAGTCTTGCTTTGGTTTGCGCATATATATATAAACTGTAGTAACAAAAGTGCTGAGTTCCAATGTTAGGAAATGCAGAAATAAGTACTTGTTTCTTGAACCTTATGTTTTCTCATTCAATATGTTACAAGAGAAAATAATAATGCTTTCTTTCCTCCTCTCTCGTTTTCTGTAGTGGACCAGATCTATCATCTAGCATCTCCTGCTTCTCCTCCAAATTATATGTATAATCCTATAAAAACATTGAAGACCAACACTATTGGGACATTAAACATGCTGGGTAAGTGGAAATTTTTTTTCTTACTTATCTTTGTCAGACATAATGTAATCTGGACAGAGTTATTGGAGGGAAGGGAGAATGAAGCAGATGAGTTGAACATTTTAAAACGTTGATTCTTTAAGAAAAATAAGGTGGGGTTTTTTTCCTCTCTCTGAAGATTTTTGTACTTTTCCTTTAAATATATGTGCAGGTGAACTCTTGACAACATGCAAAAAGCTATCAAAGCACAAAAACTTCATGCCTGTAACTTGACTATGGAGTCATAACAGTGCAATAACTACAGAAGTCATAGAAACAATTAAGAGCATGGGATTTTCATAGTAAAGTTGTGTCCATGACTGCACTTCTCACCTTGGTGACTGTGGAACATGCCCACGGTTGGCATGAGTGACTGTTCCTTTCCACCACAGCAAACATTGAACTAGGTGGAACTGTGTTGGCTCTGTAAACCCTGAACATCAAGAGTACTGCACCTTCTTGCGCATGCCATGGCTAGCAAATTCTGCAACAATGTTTAATGTCTAGCTTCATGCTAGATAACTACAAGGCAACATTTTCAGCTTGTCTGTTGGTTTTGATGCTGGGAATGGGCCTATGAAAAGAAACCCTCAAGCTTTCACTACTTTTTCTCCCATCTTTGATTCATTTGGCATATACTGCAGCTTGAACTGGATGTCAGTGATCCTAAGAGTTATTATGAGGCAAAAAAATTCCTGGGCATTAGCTCAACTGAGTTTCTCATTTGAGTGACACTCTAGTGAGTACAATTCAGAGAATTAAGTGATTTAGAAGCTATTGAGGTACCAGACAGTTGTACAGCATAGGTGAGAGACTTCTTTGGCCATGCCAATTTGAAGGCCAGAAGGTCATTGAAATGGAATGCAGAATAATCTCAGGTGATGGGTAGGATAATCCAGACAGTTTTAAGGGGCATAATAAAGGGAAAATGATTGATTTTGTCCTACTACATGTTATTCCGTGTGAGTTTCTTTATATAGGTTATCTTTAAGTTTTGGTAGTCGTAATAATTAGTGCGTTGTTTCAAGATCCTGATTTCATAACTGGAAGGGTTTGTGCTTCCTTGACCTTTATTTAGGGTGTAATATATTAAGTTCTTGGATCTTGGTTCAGTGTAACTTTTAGTCCCAGAAGCAAACACATCACACATGTGGGTGCTGCTCTGCTGTTTCTCAAGTTTTCTAGCTTGGGAGTGGGAGCTATGGATGTGATTTACAGCTGGATTTATCTAGAGAGAGAAATCGAATTCTCTTTAAAACATGTAAAACAAGATCACACTACAGCAGTTAACATGACTAAAAGATTCTTGCACTTGCTTTAATAAAGTTGTTCTTTCCCTGTTGCCCAAAATTTAGGGTTAGCTAAACGTGTTGGAGCACGGCTGCTGCTGGCCTCTACATCAGAGGTATATGGAGGTAAGAAGGATAAAACAGTGTTTAGAGCTCTTGAGATGTGACTGTGTAAAAGGGTATTTACAAACCTTTTGTCAGGTGATAGAATGATAGATTTTCATCACTGTCGCAGCTCGATTTCTTTATCAGATGTACTTCTCACATTAGTACTGCTTTAAATCTCTAGTTGGAGTGGTGGAAGGAGGCTGACTTTGTCTAACTTTCCTGTGTCTTAGTTTATGTCTCTTTTTCCAAAGGGCTTGTGGGGGAATTTTGAGTTTTGAACTCAAATTGAAATCCAGATGCCATAATGAAAACCTGTGAAGAAAGATAATTTCAGTAGTAAATCTGCATGTCTCTTCCCCAGTTGCTTACGAATTGTATTGTTACCATTTAGCAATTGCCCTAGTGTGTAAGAGACAGGGACATAACCTCCAAGCTAACAAAATAGTGATTGTGCATGCAGGCTGTTGTGGTGTCTCTTAAAATGTAATACTCGGCAATAGTGCCGTATCTCTCCATCCTCCTCGTACTGTTACTGAGAAGTGAAGTAGTGAGAGAACGGCTGACAGAACTGCTAGCTAGATGCAATGAGAATCTTTAGTGCTTCCTTGGGTTGTGTAACAGACTGTGTGCCTACTAGAGAAACTTCCTGCTGTTGTGAACTCTTGCCTAATTGATACTAGCAATGTTGCAAGGTTAATGGAGATATTCAGGCACAGTCACCAGCTCAACATCGGTAGTTGTGAGAGTCTAGGCTTTAAAAAACAAACAAGCAAACAAAAATATTCATCACTGTAACAAGATATAAAACTTTGTCAAAACTTTGTGAGGAAGGACAAAAAACATAACTTCAAGGAGTACACTTTTGGTGGAATAACTTCAGTCAAGAGATTCAGAGTAAATACTAAGAGATCCACTAAGATGACCAGGCAACCAAATAAACAGCTTGACCATGTGCAACATTCCTACTGCCTCTCTCACCTTTGCTTATCCATGGTCAGGCTCCACAGAGAAAAATGGTAGTCCCAAGGACTCTTCTGTAATTGAACAAACTCCCTTCTAGAGCAGGGGACCCACAGGCAAAAAAAACAAACACACACCAGATTTTGTAGCCTCACTGCTGTGCTGCAGTCTGCCTGCTGAAGTGGAAAACTTGAACTCACATTATCAGTCTTTGTTGTGCTAGTAAAGCCAGTGGAGAGAGTCTACTCACATCGCACTCTGACTAAACAGACAAAGCCGTTTTGCTGAAAAATAAGGGACAGAAAATAAAGTCAGAAGATCTCTCTTAGCTCTTTCCACAGGAGTTCTTAAGGAGTTCCTCAGGAGTGTTGTATAGAGAGTTTCCAAGTGCTTCATAGGGCTTGCTCTGACAGAAAGGAGGCATAAACTGAAGCAGACTTTCAGATCACAGCACCTTCTGGGGCCCTTTTAAGCATGCTACAGGCTTTTATAATCATGTAAAACCTCTCTGCCTTTAGCATTGCTGTGTGGCTCTTCTGTGGCAGGAATTCATATGTAATCGTGTCTGTGATTAGCATAAAAACTGGGAGGGTTAATCAGAACTGACCGTCAAAGTTGTTTCAAAAATCAGCTGGTAACACTTGAGAGTTCTGTAGTAATGTATGCAAACTTCAAACCCGGTGAGGACAGGGCTGCACAGATAGCAGAGTGGGGAAATGTAAAAAAGTGATTATATCATTTCAAGCATATAGCATGCACATGCACAGAGATTCCTAGGAGGTTTTTGGTTGGTGGTTGTTTTTTTGTAATGAAGAACTTCTGTATTAGGTCAACCCAAAAACTGCCTAACCTGATTGTCTGTGCCCAGTGATAGCTAGTAAAAATGCTTAGGGTGAACCAGAAGAAACATAACAAGTACATTGTGGTACATAGTGCTACTCTTTCTTCTTTAAGAAACGCAGTACTTCTCTATTTTGTCCATTTTGCTTTCGTTGTTTCTTATTTTATAAAACTTGAAGATGCTTTACTTTCTTTTTTTTCCAAATACAGTAAAAAGTGCTGTCTCCATAACCTATAATGTTTCCTCTGATTTACATTAGATAAGAGTCTTATTTGTGCCCTACCTCGGTCCATTTTTGCAGAGAAGAGTTGAATTTAACCCTCTGTTTGCACAGTCTTTTAAGGGAAAGCCGGTGATGGCTGTTGTATGCTCGGTTATCTTACTAGAGTCTCACATCTTCGTAACTGTCATTTTCATGGTTCTAGTGGATACACTTTTAAGGAGTAGTGTTGAAACTTAGTATTATTTAAATGCATAGTCCAGATAGAAGGTGTTGAATTGTATAACACCAATGAACTACTGAAAGATTCATTATATATAGTCACTCTTTTGATAGAAGGTAATTAAGGTGCTTTTTTTTCCCCATAGATCCTGAAGTTCACCCCCAAAATGAGGATTATTGGGGCCATGTGAATCCAATAGGTCCAAGAGCCTGCTATGATGAAGGGAAGCGGGTTGCAGAAACCATGTGCTATGCATACATGAAGCAGGTATTAAATTTGTAACAGATTCAGTAAATTTCCTGTAATTATGAAGGCCAAATGTGTGGCAAAACTGGAATATGAGTGTTTAGGGGTAGGAAGGCAAAAGAGGATGTCTTGAGCAGGAGCTGCAAAATCTGTTTTCTTTAATGCAAAAGTTTTATTGCTCCCATCTGTTGTGTTTTTCAGATGAGCAGTGTTCTTCAAGAAATGTGCTTTAGCCTTCTTGATAGACATATTATGTCTTTCAGTGTCATAGATAGTTTTTAGACATATTAAACTGAGGTGACCTTATTCATTTGTGAGTCAAGTAACAGAGTTGTTTTAAGTTGGTCCTGTAACTGAGCAGTGCTTTGATGAATAGGGTCATTACTGATAAATGTGGAGTGTTTAATAGGCATAATTGAAATCAGAATATACAGGTAAAAATGAGGAAATTCTTTAATGAGTACCCATATAGGAGCATTGTATTTTAAATCACTTTAGAAATGTCTTAAATTACATAGGTGTAAATACAGCCCTTAAGGAAAGACATGAATACTTAGCTATGTAATATGTTTTTTTAGACAAATACAGTAACATGAGGTTAAAAATGCAATTTAAAATATGTTTGTGAAGTGATACATGCCAGTTTCTGTGGGGTTTATATCAAGAAGTAGAAATTCATTATTAACTAACCTGGCATTGACCCTTTACCAGTATGTGATTCTTCCCTTATTTAATTGCTGTTCAGCTAGTCTTTGGGAGACTACTTGATTAGAAAATATGGCATACTAAAGAAAATCATATCACAGTTCTTAGTGTTTGCAGCCTTAATATACAAAGATATAAATCAAAAAAACTTAGTATATTCTGTAGAATTTTAAACCTTTAAATAATAAAGTATTAAGGGCTTTTAAAAACTTTGAAAACAGAATTAAACTTAGGGGTAAGACTTTAGGGATGGTATTTTAGTACAGAGGTTGTAGTAATTTTCTCTTATCTCTTCTGCCAAACAGAGAAGGCAGAGGTCCTGTCTCCTTTGTTCTCTTTTAAATCATTTCAGATACGATATGGGGCTACTGCTCTTGCTCAGGATGATGTCTTCTATACTTCACTGTAGGACAATATTCCTCGTGGATCTGGAAATCTGTTTGCAGTTGAATGTTGTAGTTTTTATGAGAAATTCTTGTGCTGTAGGGTATTGAATTTTTTGCAAGTTTGTAGTACACACTGCAGTATTCTTTTAGAACGGCAAGACTGTAGGTCATTTTGAAAATCATGGGCTGTATCTTAAAGCCACAGGATGAGTCATTATGCAGTATTTACAAAGGGTAGTAAAAGTTTGTAAGGTGTAACTGCAGTGCACACATACATTAAATAAAAACTCATGATGCAAATGAGTTCTCGGTCTTAGAGGCAGCTCTGTGAGATAATTCTTGTACTTTATTATGGGCTAGTGAAGTCTGCCCAAGCTTGTCTCACATTCAGGTATATTCTCAATACTGTTCAGCTGTTTGTTTTTCAGAGTTTAGAGGATAACTGTTATAAGCGGAGGAAACATTATCTTTCGCTAGTGGAAAGGTCTCACTTCTGCTATGAAAATAAGCATTGTGCTTTTAAGAGGGTTTTCAGACAGGAGTGACCTAGCCTAAAGCAATTGGTTTTACAGGGTTTTAGGCTAAAATATTTCCAGAATCTTCTCAGCTTCAATAAAAAGAAGAAACAAGCAAAGTTATTTCTGCATTTTTTGTCATTTCTTTCCACAGATTTCTTATTATTGTAAAATAAAAATTAACTTCTACATTATACTTCTAGACAGGCTGTTTGAATCAGAACAGTTCTCGCATCTAGTCAAAGATGACTCTAGTCACAGTAGTCAGAGGTCCTCAGTAGCCTGTCCTGACCAAGATCTTTTTGGTGTGCTCTTTTCTACTGTCAGTATTGTTTTCTTCTCTTATTTTGACCCTATGAATTAAGCATTTTTTTAATTTATCTCCTTTTTACAACTGCTGTCTTTAAACAAGTCCAGCAGAACTTTTGTTATCAAGGAGGCCAAAGGCAGTAGTAGCATTCAGTAATGTATAAGCATCTGCTTGAAAGGAGAGGTGGGGAGTGAAATATCTGTATTCACAATGCATGTACACAAGCTCATCGCATCCCATGTGAGGCACCTGAGTGTGTGGTTTGAGAGGATATTTGCTGTAAGCTTCTGGGAACAGCTCTCCTTGCATAAATTCATGTGGCAATGTAGGTCAGCCATGCTCTTTAGTGTGAGTGGAAGTATCTCCTTCTGGAACCTTTCTCAAGCCACAGGAAGCTTTAGTTCCTTGCCCTGTTCAACTCAGATTAATTTAAATACTAGTCAGAATCTGACATTGCCTTCGTGGGAGGAATCCAGTACGTTTGCGTAGGCATGTCATAAATACAAATACACAGCATTTTAAATGTTTAGCATATTAAGGGTGTTTTGTGAATTAGATTTCGTTTTTCCTCTCATACCATTGATCTGTAAGGAAATTCTCCAGAGCTGAAGCAACACATCAGGTCACCATGTGCATTGGGTTTGCATGGCAAGGTTTGGTAACAGGGGGACTACAGGGTGGCTTCTGTGAGAAGCTTCCCCTGTGTCCGACACAGCCAACACCAACCGGCTCCAAGATGGACCAAGCTGAGCCTGTTGGCAATGGTGGCAGCACCTCTGGGGTAACAGAGTTAAGAAAGGGGAGAGGAAAAAACCACCTGGGCAATTGCAGCTGAAGAGAGGAGTGAGAATGTGTGAGAGCAGCAACCCTGCAGACCCCCAGGTCACAGCAGAAGGAGGGGCAGGAGGGGCTCCAGGCACGGGAGCAGAGATCCCCCTGCAGCCCCGGGGGAAGCCTGTGATGAGGCTGGCTGTGCCCCTGCAGCCATGGAGCTCCACGCTGGAGCAGATCTCCACCTGCACACGGGGAGGGCCCCACGCCAGAGCAGGGGTACGCATGAAGGAGGCTGTGACCCCGTGGGAAGCCCGTGCTGGAGCAGGCTCCTGGCAGGACCTGTGGCCCTGTGGAGAGAAGAGCCCAGGCTGGAGCAGATTTGCTGGTAGGACTTGTGACCCCTGGGGGACCCACGCTGGAGCAGTCTGTTCCTAAAGGACGGCACCCCATGGAGGGACCCAGGCTGGAGCAGTTCATGAAGAACTGCAGCCTGTGGGAAGGACTCATGTTGGAGAAGTTCATGGAGGACTGTCTCCCATGGGAGGGACCCCACGCTGGAGCGGAGGAAGAATGTGAGGAGTCCTCCCCCTGAGGAGGAAGGAGCAGCAGAGACAACGTGGGATGAACTGATTCGTTCCCCTGCACCACTGCATCAGAGGAGGTGGAGAACTTGGCAGTAAAGTTAAGACCAGGAAGAAGGGAGGGGTGGGGGGAAGGTGTTTTAGGATTTATTTTTATTTCTTATTCTCCTACTCTGATTTGATTGGTAATATATTAAACTAATTTCTCCAAGTCCAGTCTGGTTTGCCCGTGATGGTAATTGCTGAGTGATCTCTCCCTGTCCTTATCTCAACCCACGAGCGTGGTGGCAGAGCTGAAAGAGGAAGTGGAGAGGCTGAGGAGCATTAGGGAGTGTGAGAGAGAGAGATTGGTGGAGCCCCACCCGGC